CAAATACAGATACACTACATCTTAACCTCTAAAAGAAAAAGTCTCAGCTAATTTTTAAGCCTTTTTGGGAAAAAGAAGTAACGCCTTAGATAGTTCCGGCGACCCCTACTGACTGTTACTGTACTATTCTCAATAGGGAGTAGAGAGAATTGAAGACTTACCGAATCTCTTTATGTCCTTCTTTATTGATTTTTTCAAGTTCTTCGCCATCTTTGCCAACGTCGAAAATTCTGGCGTACAGTTCGTGGTTTTTACTGTCCACAAGGAATAACGACGCTCGATCCGCTTCAACCAATTTGGCCGCGAAGTTCTGTAACAGTCCGTATTTATGTGTTCCCTTCACACGACATGTGACATTACCGTACCATCACTTTGATGATTACAGTATCCATTGATACAATATCTTGAAAAATGCTTTTCGCCACGTCCAATAGGAATGAATTCAGACGACGTTGCCTAGCGAAGACTTCTGAACTGCTTCCTGTGCGTTCCAATTGAGATGCGACCTGCCAATCAATAAGTATTTCTGATTTAGCAAATTACCGCAAGCTAATGCCAGAAGTTACATAAGAGGAAAAATAAAAGAATTTTCAGGTCAAAAGACAAGTCTATTTGTTATCAAATGAATTGGAGCCCTACCTGAGCATAATGGAGTGATCCTCCCGCCCACGTGCAAATGACGTTGATAATCTGCTTGTCGCGTTCGGAGACAGGTGAGTTGAAGTGGATCTCCCCTAAATATAGAATAGATCATTGTTGGAAAGGATATGGTTCACTAGGCAAGTTGCCGCTTGGCGGCTGCTCTGAGGATCGATCATAAAGCGTTTTGTTATAAGTCATAGCGTGAAGAACTTGGCGCAAATAATCACCGTTGTGTATAGGAATGAGCTGATAAATAGTTTGATCATAATCAGCTATTCCCTACCCTATATAAGCAGACCTAGAGTAGGGTCGGTACTTTATTGTGTTGTGTTCCGGTCTACAATAAACTGGTCGTCTCGGTCGTCTACACTGGAGTGAAGAACACAACAATAACCTTTTGAGATGCGCCACACAACCTCTTCCATTTGGAATAGCAGTGGTAATCCAATGTAATTTGGCCTCTAAATTGAAGGCAAACCCCGGGATTAAGCTCATTAGTAGAGACCACGCCTTGAGTAAACTTGTGAGGTCCGTACTACAGGGGTCGTGCCTGCTTCGTCGTACAAAATGCTCCAAGGATTTGCAACGATCGCAACACTCACCACGAGCCGCGATTGATGCAGAGATCAGCATGCTCTCCAATACTGCGTGCTCTCTTGCGTGTTTTGTCCTTCTCTGGTCGGTTTTTCTCTCCATCGTACCACATCCGACCTTACTTTCGTTATTTCGAAGTTTAGATCTTCAATTTTTGCGTTTCCGATGATGTCGCTAGCTTTCTTTTCCATTTTCAGTTTTTTTTTCGCAGCTCAAACATTACCACGAAGCGCTCTTATGCTGCAATTTCAGCCCATGGCTTGCCTTTGAAGCGA